CTCATCCGTGGCTGTTGCATGGGCTCCAAGAAGCGGCCGATCACGCTGAGAAAATCATTGATCGTGCAGACCAAACGATTTGCACATGAGAAAATCAATTTGAAATGGATCGATACGAGCTCCAAATTCGGTCACGGTCGTTTCCAGACGCATGCCGAGAAGAAAGCTTTCATGGGCAAATTGAAAAAAGATCTTATTGCTGAAGCACGTTGAGGAGATATGTGTTATTGTTAATGATGACTCCTACTACTTGTTAAAGATTAAAATCTGTTTTTATATCACATTTTACCACACTTAACTACTACTGCAGGAAGAAACAACGCATGGGCCTAAGATGCAACTGCAAGAAGTAATGAACGTGATACACTTTTATCGGACAGTTTTAAACTTGCTGTCCTCTCGTATCAATTTCTAATTCCATATTTCCGTCTTTCCGTCTTGCAAATTAGTTACATGACTATTCAAAACATGGCGCGTAGGAGGCTGCATCGATGATTCCCTCTCCTATCCGCATGCACAGTTCGGTCCGTGTATACAGCTGAGGGATGAAACACAGACTGCATCATAAAATGTCTTCATACACATGATGTTCGAACGAAATCCTATTCTTCTATTCCTTTACTGAACATTTTAACCTCCCGCACCCTTAAAATTTAGTAGTTCAACCGTTCTGCATCTTTGCCTGTACGATGCGTTATTTCAGCAAGTATGATTCCGCTTACAATGGCCGTAGACAACCACTTGACAGTTTCACCCTCTTCTTCGACTACTTGGACCCTCCAGTTTTGGTTCAGCTTCCTGTGACCCTTCTATTCATACTTGCTTAAGCGTGCGGGCCACCTTTTATTAAAAGCCAGGTAGCAACGAACCAGGCTTACCGGTGTGGTCGTACGTTTTTGCGCTAAACTTCACGCAATCAGGTTGTTAACAGTATGAATGGTTGTTGCTTTACATTTTAACAAGTGGGGTCCATGTGCCCTGTTTTTTGCCTTGCATACGGGAGAAAACGGCGTCGGCTGGAACGTTAGTGTTGCATCACAGCCCCAGTTGCTTGAGTTGAAAGTGGATGGCAAAGTTTATTCGCTTCTGAACACACAAACACACATGCATACAGACAATCTCTCGGAATTACGCGTTTTGCATTTGCATAAGATGTAAAAACGCGTAAAGACGGATAAGTTTTTATTAGGCTGCTCATTCAGCAGAAAACAACAAGTTACTGTGAGTTCTGAGGTTGAACTTTTGATACAAGATTGTTGAAATCTGGATTTATATCACTGGCACAGAGTCTCAAAGTATTTTCCAGACTGTCGTCTGTTAGCCTCGTGTGCATTTTAATTTTATTTATTTTCATGATAGTGCAGAAGTGTGGCGGAATACCAAGCCCCCATTCGTCTAGTTAGGCACCACATTCTGATTCTTTCCGCCGGACGGATTTGGAACCGGTCGTAGACCGAATCCAGCCCACTAGCTTCCAGTCACCTACCTGTATTTTATACCATATTTTCGCATCTCCTAACCTGAAATCTAACTGCCACGTGGTGATGCAGTACTGGTCAAAGCATCTAGAAAAGTCGTCAACTATACAAACAGAAATCGCAAACATGCCAGGCACCACACATATTTTAATATTTATATCTTCATACTCATCGTTATCGCTATCACCGTTATCAGTAAGTCAAGTAATAGGGAATAACGAATACCCGGAAAGAATATCTGGGGCTCCCTCCAGGATATCACGCGCCCCATATCCCATCAAGGCCGATCACATCCCCGTCCATCGCAATACAGCCATATCGCACAAAATTTTGTTCAAAAGCTATGCGAGTCAAATCCACGTCCTTTGATTTTTGGTCAATTTATAGATACACTGCAAATATTTTATATCAAAATGGGCAGTGAAATTTCAGAGTCATGGGAAGTGTAATTTTTTTTTTGCCAGCACTGATCCTTTTTTGAGATCGCTAGACAATCATACCGAAACATTCCTGTTCAGATTTTTATTCAGATTTAACTTATTCACATTCCCTTTTATTCCCTTACTTTTTACATAAACACATACCATCTGAAATTAAAATTACAATATGATTCTGATTACAACATAACAAATAGGAATCACAAATAAAACGAATTCTGAATGTACTAAGACAAGTTTGGTGGCCTGGAATAACGAGAATTTTTGGATTTTTAGGAAGGACTACCCTCATCACTGCTTGAGCTACTGCTCGAATCGGAGCTCATCTGTTCCACATTCTTCACCGGTGGCGGAAGTCCTTTGCTGGCGGCTAAATACGACGATGACGATGGGCTGGACATGTGCGGACTGCTTCCCGGTACCGATGGACGTCGTTGCAGTAGCCCCGTACCTGGCGAGATATTCATGCGTGGTGAGATCAAGCCACCACGCCCTGTCATACCTCGACCACGTGGAGAAGTCGAGGTCTGTTGCGTAAAAGCACCACGTGGACTCCATGACCTAAAACAATCTTACCGGCACACTCTGTTATAAAAATTTCTGAGCGAAAATAAATACCTACAAAAGCATTTAAATGGTTTTTCTCAAGCGCTTTTTTATGCGTTTTGTGCTGTGCAATAGCTGCATAAAATGCATATTGTCATGGGGTTGTCTGTGTGTGTGTATGAGTGTGTGCATGTATGTGTGTTTGTGTGTGTGTGTGTGTGTCCGCAGCAACTTGTTCGCAACTCCCAACTCGGGAATCACAAAAGCTAGGAAACTGAAAATTTTTTCTAAATGTAATAGATGCTTGAAAAATTAGGAAAGACAGTTGTTCTCTCGCAGTAAAAATTCAAAAAAATTGGCCAACGCACGGGCTGCCCGTGCGAAGATGCGTTTTTTGCACGGTTCCCCGTAGTT